AAGTAACATAATCGGAAAATCAGGTTGGCCATTCGGAAAATTACGGCAATAATAGAATAACAAAATTTTAGTTGTTAAATAGATGAAATATATATAATATAATTGTATTGTCAGTATAAACTGATTTACGAAATCATGGCATTTACATGGATAACATTTAACAAATCGTCGGTTTAATTATAACCTGAAGTTCAGGCCCTATCACAGAATAGGGCCTGACACAAAACCTATCTAAAGTGTGGGATTCCCGTCCACCTGGTGGACGGGAAATCTGATTGGTTGATCAGCATCATGAAGGATTTTGATTGGTTGCAAGTTCACATAAACAACAGTTTTAAAAATAGCTCGGTCAAGGCGAGAATTAATATAAAGGTCAAACGCACGTAACAAATTCAATTATCGATTTCTTCGAATTTCTTTTCTTTTATGCTTTATGGAAGAAAATAAATCAAACAAACAGTATTTTGAAAGGGCTTCATCAAAATCTTTGACGAATTTTGGACACACACGACGCTGAAAGAACAGCCAAACTAGTCCTGTATTCGAAAGCTTGTTGTTGACAGCCAAGATGTTCTGCCAACTTGCGTCGTCGGCAAAAGTCTTATTTTTAATATCAGGTCCTACCGGCGTTGTTTTCTGAGCTACATCGCCTTCTTCGTGGTATGATTGAGAATTTAATTGTTGCTGTTATTAGCCCGTTAGTCGTTAGAGTATATCCGCGTCCAGGGCCTTTTTTAAGGATTTTTCCGTGGGGGGGCATTTTTTAAAAAGGGACCTTTCTGTGAGATAATATATTAGAGGGGGATAGCAATGGCTTGGCTGAAGGCCACGTGTGTGGCCAACATACCACGCATGAATGGGGGGGGGGGTCTGGCGGAGTACTCCCGCAGAAAATTTTTGAAATTTGAATCCCGGAAATGTCATTTCCTGCATTATGAGCATCCAAATTTGCTCCAAAATTTATGCTAACTGTACTTGTATTTGAAATAAATAAAGGAAAAAACGCACAAAAAGTAAAAAAAAATCCATCATTTATTATTACTTATTAGAGGAGGATAGCAATGATCAGGTGTGTGGGGGTGTACTCCCCCAGAACATTTTTGAAATTTGAAGCACGGAAATGCCATTTCCTGCATTCTGAGCATTCAAATTTGCTCTAAAATTTATGCTAACTATACTTGTATTTCAAATAAAAGATGGAAAAAATGCACAAAAAGTAAAAAAGAATATTAACTGTAATTTCTCATTACTTATTAGAGGGATAATCCCCAGAAAATTTTTGAAATTTGAAACTCGGAAATGCTATTTCCTGCATTCTGAGCATCCAAAAAATAAAAAAATTATTAACAATAATTTATCATTACTTAGTGGTAGAAAAAAGAAACTATTTAAATCGATTTTGTTAAACAAGGACAAAGTATAAAGCCTAAAACTTACTTTCCGTTTATGTATTTGTTAATCTTCGCTGGTTTGTTTGTATAATTTTAGGGAAAAGAGACTTTTCCTGGGGGGGAAAAATGTGATTTCGTGGGGGGGCACAAGGGGGGACTGGGGGGGCATTTGCCCCCCCAGCTTGTATGTTAAAAAAGGCCCTGTCCGCGTCCAGCAAGTTGAGACCTTGAGAAAGCTTGGCAGTCAAGCCGTGCACAGAACTGACTAATTAAATCTTTGTTTGCTGTTCGCCTGTTCGGTTAAATAGAGCAACTGACTCTTAATTGTATAAAAGTACCTTGAATTTTTAAGTTTAATTAAAAAGCAAAATGCTCTGCGGACATGTTCATGAGAATATAATTTTTTTGTGTAACGAAATCTACAACACTTGTCAATCATATTGCATGTGTCTCTAAAAATAACATGTGGGCGTCCCACGGTCTAGACAGGTTTTGTGTCAGGCCCTATTTCAAATTAGGGCCTGAACTTCAGGTTAGTTTAATTACTTCTCAGGGTCGTAGCAACGGGCTGGGGGGTGATGCAGCCCTCCCAATAATTCGTTAATAATTCTTTTTTCAAAATCATGCAGACCTTTATCATTTAAATAATATACCTTTAAAATACTGACAATTGATTAACTTTAAGCGGCCACATTATCCATGGCAAACTGCAAAGTATCGTATTACCCATACTTTCCTGCAACTTCTCCAATATATAGTTAATTAAGTGCGCCTTCGCCCATTTAGTACTACTAAATTGCAAGCAAATTGTAAATTTCGACATACTAAAACGCTGTTTTCTGACTATCAGAATTCTGTCAAAACTTCCCCCAAAGTCCGGGAAATGGCATTTCAGAGACTCTAAATTTAAAACTTTCCTCTGGCCTTCGATCGGCCCTCGATCTTTGCCTCCCAATCAAAAAGAGCTTCCTACGGCACTGCATGCTTCTGTAATATGTCTGTGCGTAAAATATGGGTATTTTTGTTTGTAAATGCGTCTTCATTTTCCAGATAACAAACGCCTTCGTGGCTTCGTATGCCATGAAATATTCGGAAATTTTTTTCGTCATTCGGAAATTTTTGGCCTACCCCCCAACTATAAATGCTAGCTACGGCCCTGAGTATAGTTTACCATATATAATATAGATATATATTACAGGACCTCCCTGAAAAACACTTCGGTGAGTGGAGCTTCCTGAATAAATATTATTATTATTATTATTATTATTATTATTATTATGGATATTATTATTATTATTATTATTATTATGGATTCTGTGGTGAACAAGTACGTACGTAAATGGCTTGAAATACCTATATCAGGAACTCTATCTAACGTCTACCTTACCAGTAACAAGTTTGCTCAGTGCCAAACAGTTGCTCGTAACGCCTTAAAGACCTCTCCAAATCATTCCATAAAAGACCTCTGGAAAACAACATCTGAAAGCAAAAACATTCAGTACGACGTTTACACCTCGACAAAGGAAGTCCTTAAAACTTTTACCTCCGGACAAGAAGACAAACTGCAGAATCATCTGATTTTGCAAGGCTCCTTCTTCTCAAATGTCATTAAGTTTTCACTGTCGAAATTAAACGGCATATGGTCTAAATCCCAATCAAACCTCCCAAAGAATATCTATAACTTCACCATTCGTTACATCAATAACTCACTTCCAACCCGTAAAAACCTTACTAAATGGGGAATATTGTCCAACTCTGATTGCTCCTTCTGCTTAAACCCTGAAACCCTTTTACACGTAGTTGCTGGATGTCAAACGTACCTCCCACGATTTACATGGAGACATGATTCTGTTCTGAACTTCATAGCACAAACGCTACAACCTGTAAACAACTCCAATCTTTTCGTCGATCTTCCTGGTTATAAAAGCCCATCAATTGTAACTGGTGACACATTCCGCCCAGACCTACTTCTATCTATCAACTTGGATTGTCTCTATATCCTTGAACTTTCTGTTGGTTATGAGTCTAATCTACAAACAAATGTTGATCGGAAAAGAAGAAGATACGAAGATCTCATTACACAGCAAAAGAAACAATTTAAGTCCGTAAAATTTGTCAATTAGTTCTTTAGGCGTCTTCTCAAAAGAATGTCATTCCTTTTTAGATATGTTAAATGATCTAGGTCTTGATAAAAGACACCAACATTTTGCTATCAGGAAAATTATGTCTATCGCGATTAGGACAACATATTATATATTTTGTTGCAGAGATAAGGACTGGTCAAATCCGGGCGGATTACTGAACATTTAAGGATACTCATTATTAATATATAAATATTAAGTAGGTTCAAGTAGCCAATTATAAATTATTTAAATTAGTGAGATTTATAATTGTATATATACGTATATAATTTCAATAAAGTTTCCATTATATTCTATATTTTGTTTGCAGCGTGTTTTACATTTTGTTTGCAGCGTGTTCTATATTTTGTTTGCAGCATCTTTTACATTTTGTTTGCAGCGTGTTGTATATATTGTTTGCAGCGTGTTTTACATTTTGTTTGCAGCGTGTTCTATATTTTGTTTGCAGCATGTTTTACATTTTGTTTGCAGCGTGTTGTATATATTGTTTACAGCGTGTTTTACATTTTGTTTGCAGCGTGTTGTACAACCTCGTACCCAGGGCTTCTGCGCTTATTGCTCTCAGAATCCCTGGGATAATCCAAACCGGAACACCATAGAACAGTGGTACCCCCGGAAGCGGAAGTAAACAGTAGCTCCAGCTAAAAACGCTGACTGGGCATATTTTTACGCAAAGAGTGAGAGTGCATTATTTGTTGCAATTTATGATATATTTGGACTTGTAAAGACGTATTAAACTGCTTCTCGCGTGGCTTTTGGAATTTAAAGTCAGGAATGATCAATTTAGAGATACAATTATGCGTAAAATTAGCCCTTTGGCGAGCAAAAGAACATCTTATATCGCGACAACAGCATACCTTGTCAGCGATAGCCCCTGCTATTCAATAATTAAAGTATAAATATTTATATTCGAGTGCAACCTTGGTCATTTCAAAATTAACAGACTAGAAATCTTACTGATAACATAGCTGGCTGCCGATTATCTTGGATTTGAGGGTTTTGAACAAGATATTGCAAGATTTAATTATAAATGCACAAGATATACTGTACTGTAAACATGCATCTACTTGAAGAATGTAAAATGAACAGTGATGAGTGATGTAATATAATTCTGTACTTTAATATTTGGAAAACCTTTTTGGCAAATCTTGAGAATAATGGCTTTGGGAATCAATGTTGAAAATTAAAAACTGTCAGATAGCTGCATGAACAGCATGGTTAGAAGCATACATGTCATCGGATGAAACTCCAACTTTTGTTAATTGCTGATGTTCTAGCATTGGAATGAACAGTGTTATAAGAACCAATGGTGCTGAACTAATTTGGGTTTATTATAAAATATTGTTTATCATTTAGTTCTGGCCATTAACCTTACCTATTAAGTTATACATTGTGTCTTACTTTTTATTTTACTCTGGTGTGCACCCCCCCCCCAGGCTCTGGTCAACAGGGGTGCATGGGGGGGTGCAAAAATGATGTTTATCCTAATTCTAACCAACTTATGTTAAGGAATTCAGTTGCGTATCACTAAGTTGACAATAGTGGAATAGCCAATATTAAATATTCTGAATTTTTAAATGTTTTGAGAATCTAAAAATTTTCCAGAATGTTTTCTCATAATGCTGGAAATGCCATTTCAAAATTTAAAAAATTTTCCGTGGTAGTATACCCCCAGACCACCCTAGAAATCACGTGCCTTCGGCGCTCGTTTCGCCATTGGTTAGCACCCCCCAAAAAAACTTTGCTGGATCCACCACTGCACCAGATGGTTTTATATGTTAGGATAGATCATTGGTGTTCAATGGATTATGTCATAATACACACTAGTTTGTTGACCTACTCCGTCTAATCATGCTAACACCATCATTGGCAATGGAATTGAGCAGTGATGTAGCCAGAATTTCTAATTAAGGCCTTCAAGGGGGACTGAAATAAACTAGTTTGAATAAAGTTCGTTAGTATGTAAAAATATATTTGGACTCCCAAGCTATCCATGTATAATATAGTACAATGTAAACTTTTTAAATTCTAGTTAATAAAGTGCCATTTTGGGGGGCTATTTTAATGTGTTTTGGTGATTTGAAATAACCTTGCAGTTAAAACATGTTCAACTCTAATTAATTACAAACAAGTTCAGAACATTTAAAATATTTTGACCCCCCACCCCCTCTGGTTACACCACTGGAATCGACTTGAGCCTTTTAGACCTCTGAATTTTAGTTGCAACTTAGAACAGTGTTCCGACATACAAGAACATAAGAAAATTTAAAATTTGTGCAAAAGCATTTCTCAAATAGGTCGTTCCAGAAAATATCCACACTCTCCCCACGGAGGAAATTTCTGCCGTTCAGAGGGGGAGGGGGGAAAATTGTTTCTGATAATAGTAAATGTATTAGGTGTTTTTTTTTTCAAATCTAATCAAATTGTCAATCCTTGTACATGGGGAGAGGAAATTTTGGAGAAAGAAAAATTGTGACCAATCGGGTTGGGGGTCCACCTGTAGGCCTGGTCATACGCATACAGGGCTGGGCTCAATTGTTGGGCAGACTAGGCCAGTCGGGCAATATTTACTTCACAGTTGGGCAATATTGGCTTATTATAAAAATAAATATGAGAAATTAATCCCTCAATATTGGGGGAAATATGCTATATAATGGTCGAAAATTTAGTTCATTTTGATTAATAGTCATTTAATATATGTGCTATCAACAGTTTCTTTATGGTATTAAGTAACAGATTACAATGTTTGTACATT